AAAGTGAGGATTCTATAGAGGAAGAGATCAGAGAGGCTTCCTCACACCAATTCAGGGCAATGGTAAAAGGAAAGCCAGCCATACACCTGATCAGAGAATTCCTTAAAGATGAATTTCAATCAGAGGCTCTGAGGTCATGGAGGTCAAGCTGCTCATGTGTCCAGGAGGGTACAGAAACCCCTGCTCACACACCTAGGCTGAGTTATGGTGTCAGCTGTTCAATATTGATTGTTTTTCTCTCTTCCCTTTTAGCCTACCTTTTAACCTGTTGGCACCTGCCCACCACTGTCCAAGTCAATGTTGATTTAGTGCCACCCCATGTTGTTGAAGGAGAAGATGTCCTTCTTCATGTCTGCAATCTCCCGGAAGATCTTGTAGCCTTTGTCTGGCACAAAGGGGCGACAAAGATGGACCTCGGAATTGTACTTTATTCACTGACCACTAATTTAAACATCACGGGGCCTGGACATAGTGGTAGAGAGATAGTGTACAGAAATGGATCTCTGCGCCTCCAAAATGTCACCCAGAAGGACACAGGATTCTACATGCTACGATCCTTAAATAGGCATAAAGGAATTGTATCAACAACATCTATATACGTGCATGTATACTGTAAGTGATTCTATGTGAACTATCAGTGCTGGGTGGGTTCCTTCCACTGGATACACACAGGATGGTGGCCTGTGCCTACCTCTCCTCGACACTGTGTCCCCATCTTTGTATTTTGGCATTTAGTGTGTGACTTGCAGTGCAGACTTTCCTTTTTAGGTGGTTAGAGACACAGGATACAGCAGAGAGCAACTCCAGGGTCAGCTGCTATTTTCTTGGGTCAAAAGGATACTCATTAGCTTTGATAACTTGACTGGAACTACAAAAGGAACAGAACAATCACAAAAAGAGTAAAAGTGTGAAGAAGAAGGATCTGTAGGGGAAGAGGTCATGAAGACATCATGACAGAACCATCCTACTGTAAATTTGAGCAGAGATCTGACAGCAGTGAAATAGCAACCTCCAAGTGCAGGGACACAAATTAGGATGATAAGATACTTATCTACACAGCTAGATGGAGCAATGAACACACCTGTTCAGGATATAGGGCTTCATCTCACCAAAATGCAAAGTTCTTACTATTGATGGATCTCTCTCTCTCTCTCTCTCTCTCTCTCTCTCTCTCTCTCTCTCTCTCTCTCTCTCTCTCTCTCTCCACTTCTAGCCTTCCTTTGGACCTGTGGACCCCTTTCCACCTCTGCCCAAGTCACTATTGAATCAGTGCCCCCCTATAATTACTGAGGGGGGAAGTGTTCTTCTACTCATTCACAATCTCCCAGAGAATATTCGATCCCTTTTCTGGTACAAGGGGATGATTGTGTCCAATGATCTTGAGTTTGCAAGACACATAATAACCATGAATTCAAGTGTGCTGGGTCCTGCACACAGTGGTCGAGAGACAGTGTACAGCAATGGATCCCTTCTGCTCCAGAATGTCACCTGGAAGGATGCTGGATTATATACCCTATGAACTCTAAGTACAGATATAAAAACAGAATTAGCACATGTGCAACTGCAGGTGAACAGTAAGTGATTCTCTGTGATCATTCAGTGCAGGGTGGGACTTGGACACATAGGATTATGATGCCTGGCCTGTACCTCGCTTCCCTCTACACTGTGTCTCAGTGTTGGTATTTGAGCACTAAATGCATGACACATGTTAGAGAAAAATGATCATATGTCGGACTGTATCTTCTAACTATACCCCACACATGTCAAGGAAGACCTTGCTGGAAAATAATTTAGCCTAAGAAGTCAGAGTTAGCCCAGTCTCTTGGGGTAATGTAGAACAGGGATCCCTGAACTCTGTCATCTTTCCAAGACTGGACTACTGTGAGCGAGGCATGTTTTGCTAGGACTCAAATCTTACTTTCTTGTATAACTGATAGGGAACAATGTTTTTTCACTGTCCATATCAAACTGGTGTATTTATTAACCCCAAGTTGAAAGTGTCATAAATAAAATCCATCAACTGTGGCAGGGATCATGAAGGTATGGTGCTTACTGGCTTTCTTTACATGGCTGGTAAGTCCATTCTTATAGATCACCCAGTACATCTAGCCCAGGAGTGAGAATGCCTGAACCCTTCCACATCAATCCCATATATATATATATATATATGTATGTATATATGAAGATTGAGTGGGCAGCAGTAGAAAAAGGCCGGCCTATCTATAGGCCAATCTGGTAGTGGAATTTTCGATTGATACCTTTTATTTCAAGAGGGCTCTACATTGTGTCAAGTTCATGTTAAACTACCCAGCCTAAGTGAGCCCTTTTGAAGACCTGAACCCTGAAGATCAGACTGGTCCCAACTTTCAATCAGTACCAGTCCTGAAGAGTGCAGGACAGAGAAGAAATATCTTCTGGAAGGTGAATTTAGGAGTTGAATAAAAACACAAAGAAAACAAACCAAAATAAAAATTAAAAAAAAAAAAAACAGAAACAATAAAAACAGATAGTAAAACCCTGGAAGTTCAGGGAAAGCATCCTCTCAAAACCCTCCAGTGTGAAGTGCAGTGTTCAATGTCTGCCTGAGGACAGTAAGGGAGCAGGCATGCAGATACTTGAGGGGAGATTTCCATTCTGGAAATTTGAGTAAGAAATCAACACCTATACCTTTAACTATGCAAAACCCACATGCCTAAATGACAGTGCAACAATATATTCAACAACATAAAAAGCAAAATGTTACCACCAGAACCTAGTGGTTCTACAACAGTAAGACCTGAACATTATTCCACCATAGATGAAGTAGAAAACAAAAACCTTAAAATAATAGTATGAAGATAATAGAGGCCCTTAAAGGGGAAATGAATGTAAAAACAAATAAACATTTGGAAGAAATCAATAACTCCTTTAAGAAAGCAAGAAAGCCAAGATAAACAGTTGAATGGGTGAACAAGACAGTTCAAGAATTGAAAATTGAGCCGGGCGATGGTGGCGCATGCCTTTAATCTCAGCACTCGGGAGGCAGAGGCAGGCGGATCTCTGTGAGTTCGAGACCAGCCTGGCCTACAGAGCTAGTTCCAGGATAGGCTCCAAAGCCACAGAGAAACCCTGTCTTGGAAAACCAAAAAAATAAAAAAAGAATTGAAAATTGTAATAGAGGCAATAAAGAAAACAGAAATTAAGGGAATTCTAAAAATGGAAAATATAGAACAGGAACTACAGATGCAAGCATAAACAACAGAATACAAAAAATGAAAGAGAGACTCTCCAGAATTGAAGATACAATAGAGAGGATTGATTCATTGGTCAAAAAATGTAAAATCCAATAAATTCTTAAAACAAATCATCCGTGATATCTAAGAAACCGTGGAAAGATCAAATCTTAAGAATATTAAGGATAGAAGAAGGAGAAGAACTCAAACTTAAAGGTACAGAAAATATATTCAACAAAATCATACAGGAAAACTTTGCCAATCTAAAGATGGAAATGCCTATGAAGATACAAGAATTTTACAGAACACCAAATAATCTGTCCCCCAAAATCATACATTTGCCACATAATAATCAAAACAGTAAGCATAGAAGATAAAGCAAGAATATTAAGAGTTGTAAAATAAAAGGCCAGGTAACTTATATAGGCAGAACCATCAAAATTATACTCAATTTTTCAATGGAGATTCTGAAGTGCTGAATATTCTGGACAGACATTTTGCAGACACTAAGAGATCATGGATGCCAGCCTAGGATACTTTACCCAGTGATGCGTTTAATCACCATAGACAGAGAAAACAAGTTATTCCATGACAAAACTATATTTAACCAATACCTATCCATGAATCCAGCCTAACAGAATGTATTAGAAGGAAATCTCCAACCCAAGGATATTAGCTGCACCCACAAAACACAGGCAATAGAAAATTATACAACAGCAAATCCCAAATGAAGAGAAACACAATCATATTACCATCACCAACAACAAAACCAAGAATAACAGGGATTATCAAATCCTGATCATTAATATCCCTTAACACAATACACTCAAGTCACAAAGAAAAAGACACAGGATAACAGAATTGAAATGAAAACAGGATACATCCTTCTGCTGCATACAATGAATATACCTGAACTTCAAAGACAGACATTACCTCAGAGTAAAGGGTTGGGAAAAAAATTTCTATTCAAATGGATCTAAGAAACAAGCTGGTTTAGCTATTCTAATATCTACCAAAATATACTTCAAAATAAAATTAATCAAAATAGATCAAGAAAGATGTTTCATAGTCATAAAAGAAAAAAATCCACCAAGATGAAGTAGAAATTGTGAACATTTATGCACCCAAGACGAGGGATCCACATTTGAAAACGAAACCTTACTAGCCAGGTGGTGGCATATGCTTTTAATCTAAGCACTTGGGATGTCTGTGATTAATCTTTTGCCAAGTTCAGTAAGGACAAGGATCGAAGGCAGATATTAGAAAGACCAACAATGGTTGAATGAGGTCTTTGTAATAGGCAAAGGTCCCACAGAAAGTCATCTCTGTTATCTTTGCAGCACTGTTACACAAGGCCACTATCAGAAGCAATAATTTTAATCTCATTGAAGTTGATGACAGTAGCCTGAAAGCCTATATGTTAGTGTCAGAATACAACCTACCTGTGGGGGATAAATGGTCAAAGCCTCTTAGAAGATTATAGGCTGAAACTGTGGGAAGGCAACTGGGATTTCACATACTCATTGTGACAACTGACACAGGATCCTGTGAGCATATAATACGGAAATGTGTGACTTACAACCAAAGTGACCCAATCAACCTGAATGTTAACTGTGAATAATTTCTGTTTCCTCATGGCTATAACTACTTACATACAGAAATATAGAGCTACACTCATCCACTCTTGGGTATTGATAAAGACACCCCTACAGATAACTAGGCTGCTCTAGCACAAGCATATGCAGCAAAATTGAACATTGAGTTAGAATGGGGGGTTCTCCTCCTTCCAGAAAAGCTAAGGGGGATGAAGTCAAGGAACATCTCAGACTCAGGCTCAGTTCACACATGATAGTTCATTGAGAATGTTTGTTACGCTAGTGATTGATTAGGGCTTGTGTGTGCTACATGAGTACTCTTCTACTAATCTAAACCCCCAGTTCTGGTTGGGATCTGTCCAACTGAGGTAAAAAAAAAAAAAACAGATATTAGAGCCGCTATACATGAGGATTTTCCATTTCTTTGGAGACATCACATGTGGCTTTATTCAGTATGCTCAATATTATTCAGGTGATGGGATAATAGTCACCTCAGATAACCACATGAATCTGGGTTCACACCTCAAGCTCTTCCACAAAGTTGCTTCAATACTGTTGCCTTAACAGAGGTGGGCCCCAGATATCCTGACAGGAGTTATTTATCCAAAACTTCATTACTAACATTTGTAAATCCTATATCTCCCTTGACTAGAACTCAGTCATTAGTGTCCATAGGACCCAAGTGAAGAAAATTACAGGTCTTGAGTAGCAGATCACTGAAATGACAGCATTGACCTTTGGGTAAAGCCTTGGTTTGATGGACAGATATAGAAATTAATTCCCAGCCTGTGGGACACAAACAAATACCAAACCACTTTTGAGATTTCAGCTACATTTCTTTCTTCTCTCCTTACATCTCTGCTTTTTCTTGGCTCACCTTGGACTGTATTGGCATGTGAAGTGGTGGTGGGGCTTCTCCCAGGATGGAGGAACATCCCAAGTAGAGAAACTTTACTTAATGTAAAGTAGACTTTTCTTTCTGTCACTAACTCATGCATTACCCCTTCCATCTGCTATCATGTTCTCTATGACCCAGAAGAAATACTTAGAACTTTGACCCATGCTTATTTTCCTTTACCACAGGCGCTTCCATTTCCTGTCTTGTTTCAGCTGGTAATTGGCTTTTGCTCTGATTCCCATGGAGTCAGAAGAGGCAGGTGATGGATGTACCTTAGTGGACTGTCATAAGTCAGGATGAAACATGTCTTGATGATGCTGTTTCCTTAACTCTACATGATATCTTTTGTGGACATCATAGCATCCCTGATATTAGTATCAGGAAGGTGAGAAAAGTGACACTCAGTGTATGTGTCTTTGGGGTCTATTCTGGCTCAGATAGGACCAGCACATGTGATGACCATGGCAATCAAAGAGGGGTAGTCACTTGGAGAATGGGGAACATCCTCTGGAATATCCCTATGGAGGAGGAGGACTTAACAGTTTGAAACAGTGTCCTAGTTAGTGTTAGCTATCATCTTTTTTTTTATTTTTTATTTTTTTATTGAGAATAAGAAAAAAGTTTCCGCCTCCTCCCAGCCTCCCATTTCCCT